CTGTTCACAGTCAGCTGTTCAGCTGTTCACAGTCAGCTGTTCACAATCAGCTGTTCACGCTGTTCACAGTCAGCTGTTCAGCTGTTTACAGTCAGCTGTTCACAGTCAGCTGTTCAGCTGTTCGCAGTCAGCTGTTCACAGTCAGCTGTTCGACACTAAAACGAGCTGCAGCACAAAGTCGCCGTTCAGCGCCTGTTTACGTTTCCTGCTGCTAGAACTTCCTCAGAGGCTCATTTTGCTCATGCACGCCGTTAACCAGCATCAAACTCCACATTACATAAACCCAGGCAGTTTGCTACATCCTGATTGGCTCGTGCATGGAGACAGAAATGTCTCTGGACCTCTTCGACACTGAAGGAAACCTGACAGCAGGCGGCTTCTGTCAGGAGGATTTCAGGGGTAAAAGCCGTGGACGGCGTCTCGCCAACGAAAAGCTAAAAAGGGTCGAAGCCCGACATGGAGCAGAACCCCTGAGGCAGAGACTCTGACGGCGCAGACGTGGCTGTCAGTGTCAGCGCTGACATTGACTCATTGTTGCTGAGTCACAGCACGCCGTGTCGAGATTGGGACTCGCCAAGCCTCGTGCTCTCAGACCGGAGACGCTCTTATCATCCCCCCACAGTGTCAGGACGAGCGCCGGAGCAACGGATGGGCGCGCTCAGTGGCGGTTTGCCAGCAGCGAGCTGCAGCATTCGTCAGCGAGCAGTTAACAGGATTAAAGGTCACTCTGAGGTCGGGGGTCGCGTTACTGAAGGGTTCTGACACGTGGACAGCGTTTCAGGTCTGAGAGCGCCCGCCGATCGACCAGCACAACGTCACACAGCTGCTGTGGCGGAGGGATACGCTGTGACGCTGCTCTTCATACCTCCTTATATTTAACCAGTTCACGGCTCAGTCGCCTTCGTTTGTTTTATGATTTTTGAAGCTAATTTCTGACTTTTTTTAGCGACTTTACATAAATGAAAGTCGCCACAGCTTGGTGTTAAACTCTCGTTTGTAGCGACCATGGTAACATCACCGAATCGTTTCTGTCCGAGCTCCTTAGATAACAGACTCCTACAGAACCGCAGATATCGCCACCTGCTGGTCACTACATTAGTTGTACTCTGCGGCGATGGAGTCGGCACGTTATCGTTGTGTAGCGTCTGCTCTGCTGCCCCCATGTGTCCTGTCGGTGACACTGCAGCTTTCTGACGCTCTGGTTTTCAGAAAGAAGCTGAAACTGAGACGTTTGCGAGACGTCGCGGCGGCTCCGTGAGGCTGCCTCAGGGTCTTACTTTCGTCAGGATTGGGTGCGGCCAGGATGGCGCTGTGCTGCTTCTTGACCTGCTCCACGTCCTCCGACAGCTTTTCTATACAGCCTCGGATCTCCTCCACCTGAACCAAAAACACACAAGAACAAAATCAGTCTTCAGACACGACAGGATCATTTATTTCCCATCATGAGCTGGTTTTAGGGACTCAGTCAGTGACAACATTAAACCTGATCACTTGTTTAAGCCAGGCTTTAGTTTTTTTACAGCTTCTGTCGCCTGTTTCTGATGTTTTATGAGTTTTAGCTCACTTGATGTTTTCATGTTGATGTTTATGTTCTTCTACTCTGGGACATCCTAATGTCCATTAACCCTTTAAGGGTGCACGCTCTGATTCGTGCAACCATTTTTAAATCCTGGTAGAATTGCAATAATTGAGTTTGCATATGAAACTGGAGGAGTTGTTCTTACATAATGCACTCAGCTTGTCCCAGGTCGCGGTTCCAGCCGCACAGGTCCAACGGTTTACTTTGTGCTTGTGTACTTTCACTGTTGGAAACAGTTTATTATGATGCGGTTTTTGTAAATTGTGAACAATAATATTTATATTTGTTTTTCCTGCAGTTTGTAAAAATTCTTGAATCTCAAAAATGAAACTATGAAGACTCTCAGAATAAATTTCCTGTGGTTGAAACGATTTTGTGCAACTTTGCATCCTGAGGGATGAAACTCGAAATATGTGTAAAAAAACAGAAACGACTTTTTATTTTCTTGTTGTTTGATTTATTTCGTTATTATGAACTTAATCGGTCGCGTCTGCCTCAGACCTTTGTGTCTTTGTTTCGGTGCAAACAGCGACCTCTGAGTAATCGTTTGTCTCAGACTGAACAGTCCCAGTGTTCCCAGCTTTATGACCCTCACAGTGTCCAGTTCATGATCTCACCTGTTCGAAGAACTCGTCCATGAAGTGGTCCCTGTCCACCTGCACCACCTCCTCATCGTCGTCGCTGTCCTTTGCCTGCAGACAGGAAACATGATGTCATCAGTGTGGTGATGATGCTTCAGTGATGAAAACTGACGCTGAGGCCCACAGACGGACGCATAGAGGGAAACCGCTCCATAAAAGCAAACAGGAAGTTTCCAAGCAACCGCCGCAGGGCATCACCACACCAACGACCGAGAAAGTCATTTTCAGTTTATTTAAATACATTATTGTTAAATAAAATTGAAATAATATTTAAAGAAATAATGAAATAAAAGTGTAAAGACATCAAATAAAAAATATTAAAATAAATTGAATACGACAAATATGACAAATTATTGCTTCAAATAAATAAATTTAAAATTAAATAATAAATCAGCATTTTAATGAAGAAAGAGAAGAAACAACATTTAAAATAAAGTAAATACACAAACATGTTAAAACTAAATTAAATAAAATATTAACAAAATTAAAGACAAACTAACACAGGTGAATAAAAAGACAAATTAATGATATTATTGAAATATGTTTTCAGACAGAGTCCAGGATGAAGATGAAGATGATGGAGCTGTTTCACGGACGAACGCAGGAACGTTTTATTAAACTCAGATGTTCTCCTGAGGAGAGATGGACAGGTGCTGCAGGCTGCAACAGGTGTTCAGTGCAGGTAAACAGTGTCCAGTTACACTGAATGGATTCTGTTATTGTCAATACAGACGTGTGTGTGTGTGTGTGTGTGTGTGTGTGTCTGTGTGTGCGCGCTGACCGCAGACGACAAAAAGCACAATCCCTGATGTTCAGTAAACTCTCTGCAGACACACAGGCAGGTGGACAGGCTGAAGGCGGATCAGGTTACTGCATCTGTGAGGCCCATTCTTCACAATATGAAGCTCCGCCTCCATAAAACCATAAAAGCTAAAGGAAGATAAAAGAAGTGAACTTTGTTTCTGTGCCAAATCTAAACCAGCGTCCAGCACGTTGTTAAAGCTCCGTTAAACCCATCGAAACCTGCAGTTCCTCTGACGTCCAGCAGAGGCAGCAGCGAGTGTGTCCCCATAGACTCTCATGTTAAAATAAACATGTTTACAGCCTCACACACACTCTCCTGATCTCTGACGATAAACTGACCTTTCATAACAACTGTAAGGCTGAAAGTTTGCAACATCAGGGGCGTGGCCTCTTTGACTGTCAGGTGAATGCTAGTGACACACACATCCATCTTTTATCTACAGTCTGTGTAGACAAAATGTTACAAACTTTAAAAAAGTTGATGTTTTTTTAAAGACTCGTCTTCCTCTGATTATGAATCTCCACCATCAGCACGAGCATAAACGTGATCACAGACGTCAGTGTCTGCAGCTCCCCCTGCAGGCCTGTGGTAGGACTGCAGAGATGGTGTCCCTCTGCAGCCTCTGTCCTCCCCCTGCGTCACTCTGCCTCTGCAGAGGAGACTCCCAAATAAACAGTGTTTGGATTAATCAGCCCACAAACTCATTGATTACTAATGATCATGTTGTTCCAGTTTTAACTGCTGGGAAGAAGAAGAAGGAGTCACTAACATCTATTTTTATGTTTTACAAACCAAACATTAAAGCCACTCGTCACACACGTTTCTGCCGGCACATGCCTGCCTTGAAGATGAGGCGTCACGTCAGCCTTTGCTTTTATCAGCACTGATTTATTTGTTTCTGCTGTAAACATGTCCTCTGAGTCCCACTCAGGTGTCTCCACCTGGCTCCGCTGCCCGCCCATAGAGGCCATGGCAGCTTCCTCAGTCCATCCTGCCAACAGCTCGCTGTGGGCGATGCTAATGATGTCAGCTAGCTGCAGGCCTGATGCTCATCTCAGCCTGAGCCAAACACCCGATGCCACGGCATCAACACGCACAGGAAACACACGCCGACACACCAGAGTGAGACGGGCAGACATCAGCATCGCTCTGTCCACGGACCTGAACCCCCCCAGAGTCAGGACAGACTATAGACTGTAAATAAAAGACAGACATATCCACGATGTCACCCACTGGTTTACAAAGGCTCATCTGGAAGCTTCAAGCCGAGCGATTCAAGCTGAACTGAAAAAGCCAGCATTAAACCACATGATCGTAGATCACTAACTTAATGATAACTTAACGAGACAGCAGCTGCAGTGATGTAACACCTGACCAGGTAAAGGTGCTGAAGCTGTTTCAGACATCACTGTCACGTCCCAGTGAAGCGCTGCTGAGTGCACAGCTCATGTTTCATTCACTATTATTTCTTTAGCATCTCATACTGTCAGACCCTGAGGTAATGCAGAGAAACCTAAACAATCATATGACCCCCTATGAGCAACAGTAGGAAGGAAAAACTCCCTTTTAACAGGAACCTGTGGCAGAAACAGGCTCAGGGAGGGGCGGGGCCATCTGCTGCGACCGGTTCAGGCTGAGGGGGAAGAGACAGGACAAGGATTCGCTGACATGCTGACCAATCACAGTGCACTATGTTCTTCTTCCGTTAAAAACTGAGCTCTAAGAACCTCGGTAGTCCCGCCTCCTGCAGAGCGGACAAAGAGGACGGACTTCCAACAGTTACTCTGGTGATGGCCAGAGGGGCCGATGGTGCGATATGGCAGCCTCGCTTCTGTCAGTCTGCCCCAGGGCAGCTGTGGCTGCAACCGTAGCTGCCTCCACCAGTGAGTGAATGAATAGTGGCATTGTAAACCGCTTTGGGTGCCTTGAAAAGCGCTATATAAATCCAATCCATTATTATTATTATTATTATTATTACTCGAACTCTGGCTTTGAGTTTAAGGGCCGGTTTAAGAAGATGTAAGTGTGTCTGGAAGCTCTCACTCACTTTTAGATCACGCAGTTAAAATCGCTGCTCATGGATTTCTGCAGCGTGTTAAACATGTTACTTTGTTCATATCTGATTTGGAGATGAGGCTACGAACTCATCGGTCACGTTTGGGTCCTCTGCGGTGTGTAAAGCCTGACGCTGTGCAGGAAAAAGGAAAAGCTTTAGATTGAACGTGAGCGTCTGTTCGCGAGCCGCACGGCGCCAACTCCATCCTGCAGATGGTTCGTTATTCCCGATCCCCCCGGCAAAAAACACACATGTCTGAAACTGGGTCGCTCTACTTCTTCAAGAAAAAACTAGAGGAGGAAAAATAATAAAAATAATAACGTGAGCATCTGCAGGCAGAAACGAGTTCATTCATCGCTTCAGCGCGGAGCCGATCGACCAGCAGACGAGTTTCTCCTGAGCTCCTCTCGCTGCTTCCTGCTGATAACGAGCCGCCGGCCTTCAGGGCGAATGTTGGACACGATGCACCAATTTCATGTTTTTAAAACCCGTAAACGTCGCTGTCATCTCGCCTACGGCTGCAGTAAGGTTGTTAAAATCACTGCTTTCTTCCCCGATTTAAGATCATCGGATCCTTCCAGCAGCGAGTTTCATCAGAGCTGCTCCGGACCGGAACGACGGTTTCAGGCTTTCAGGTCCAGCTCAGGGTTCAGGTCGAGGGTCTGAGCATGTTCAGTACAAACGTACGTGTGAGACGAGGTCCCTGAAGGCACCGCGGGGCGCCTCCCTGTGGAAACTGAGGACGTGACAGCAGAGGACTCGCTGACCTTCAAACACACCCAGGAGATAGATGCCCCCCACCCCCCCCTCTCTCCACACACACACACAGCTAAGATCAAATCTATGTTTCACATTTTAAACGGGCTTTTTAGGTGTAAGGCCAATAATATAAAACAAGTTATTTAAATAAATCTTTTTCCAAATATGACCCCCCCCCCCCCCCCCACACACACACACACACAAATTCATACGTTTTATAAACTTTCTGAAATCTATCACAGAAAATGATCCTGTAAGATTAAATATTTAATTCCAGCTTAAAAATATGTTTTATATAAAACTTCAGCTCCACCAGCAGCCAATCAGCATCATCCCTGCCTCCAAAACCAGCCAATCAGAGTCTGTTCCCTCGCTGCTGTTCCTCCACATCACCATCCAGTTTAGAAATGCGCACACACAGAATGAGAGGTCAAAGGTCAGGGGCTGATGGACGTTAATGGACAGAGTTTGATTAATAACAGACCTGCAGGTCTGCGCGTGACCCGGCCGTCAGAGGACGTGACGGTAAACGCTGATCTGAGACCAGCAGGAAGAGGCAGGAGGTGCAACGCCGTGATGGCGGTATGAATGTTGATGTAGCATCGCTCCTGCTCCAGCACCTCTCAGCCTGACGAGGGCGCTGCCTGTGCTGCAGAGGTTGTTCCAGGAAATAGCCACAGCCGCACCTACACCGTCCCTCGGGTGGGCGTGTTCTTACATGTGTTCAATCTGACATCACACAGACGCTAAAAACAACCAAACAACTAAAGCACCCACCCGTTTCTCACATGAGCCAATTAGCAGTTCCTGGTTTTCACTCATGGATGGGCACGGCGTTTGGTCACTGCTCAGGTGGGAGGAGCCAAACACGCTGTTTTTTTTCTTTTAGATGGTGTAAATAAAGTTTTTGTTTCTGTTTCATTTTTCATCAGATTCGACATCATGTCCGTCTTTTATGTACAGTCTGTGCTCGCCCTCAGCAGGATATGTGAGGAAGCTTCAGGGTGTTTCCACAGTTTAGCATGTGACGACCTGCAGGGCCCGACGAGAGCGGCGCGAGGAGCTACGGTGGGTCTTCGATGCCTTGAAACTGGAGCGTGAGTCGGGATAATCCCAGTGAGGGATCAGCGGTAAAATCTGGGTGAAGGAAGCTTTTAATCAGATGAAATCCAGCGCTCGGTTTCTCTGCAGGGTCTCAGCTTTGAGTGTAACGAGGAGGCCGGCCCTGACTAATATCTGAACACTGTTACATAACAGCAGAGGCTGAGACACACTCGGCTGTTTTCTCCTTATCCAACCATCTGAGGAGGAGGAGGAGGAGGAAGAGGCATCAGAGCACAGAGAGAGAAAAGAAAATCAGCGAAGAGGCCGAAGAGCCTAAAAATAAAAAACTGCACAAAATGCCGACCTTCACGTTTCGGTGTCGGCTCG